GTCTCACAGCCAAGATGTGTGCATTTCTTTTCGGTTTTTCTTGAAGAGGATCAGGAGCGACTCAGTCGTTCCAAAGACATGGCATGGGGCAAAATGCTCCAAGATATGATACAGCTTAGAAAATTGTGCTAGTCAAAACAATGGTCTAGAGAAATACGATTGATCTTTTTATTCGCTTTTATGTGCGAGTCCCTTTTTTTCTTTTTGTACGCTTGTAGCCCGAAGAATTCGTTTCCCAGGGCAGAACGGCACTTGAGCCAACGCTGATGAACTCACGCTGCACCTTTGCAGTCACTCCAAAAGTTACTCCTCCTGGTAGCGTGTCGTGTGAGGTGTGAAGGCAACATCGCGGCATGGTTTTCGTCCGGACGCAGAAGATCCCGTGGTGATTCGGACCACCACGAGTCACGAGTAGTCGTCAACAGTGGGTCTCGACTGTTCACGGCCGGAAGCGAGGACTGTGGGGTGGCCACGCACCGAGGGCAACAGTGGGTGGTCTCTTGCGACTTGCGACGATGACATGGTAATCGGGCTATGCCGTAGCTGTAGGTCGCCCGCCGGCCTACGCTGCTACTACAGTCTAAAAGCATCTCCAGCCGTTGGCCTTTAGGCATTTTTTTCGTCTTTTGGGGAGCTGCCGACGAAAACTTCAATCTGGGGATGGAATTTTTTCCACTCGTTGCGCCCCCAAAGCTCCATCGATAGGCTCCTCCGACAAGACAGGGATCATCCATTCTCCCATCCCTCCTTTCCTCCAAGCAAGAAACAAACAAACAGAGCTCCATCGCCAAGAAACCACCACCGAGTTGCTTGCCAGTACCAATGGCGACCACCAAGAAGAGGGAGATGGTATTCTTCAACACGGAGGCTGCGCAGTCCCCGTCGTATTAGGAGGCATTTAGAAACGCCTTTGAAAGACTAGAAAATGCCTCCTAAGGTATAAGAAGGCGTTTCTGAAAAACGCTAGAAATACTCGCGAAGGGAAATATACCTGTGTGGGCGCTTTTGAAGAACGCCCGCGATGCACAGATCATTGACGGCTTCAGCGTGCAAAATTTGCGATGACTGAACATCTAGTTGTGGGCCTCCCTCTCCCTCTCTCACCAACACACTAGTTGCTGGGCTGCATGTGACAACCGGCCAAGCCCAGCTCAAATACACTAGGACACACGAGTTATATATAATATAACCCAAGCCTAATCTGAATCTCACCAGTCAACACACAAGTGTCTATCTGCTTCTATCTGCTTCTATCTGACAACTTCGTGCGAAGTATTACACAGCGCTGCTTTTAAACAGGCAATCATTCTGTTCGGTAGGCGATATGGGACTAAATAAACTGCCCCGAGCGTGAACGGTTGACGCTAAAAAGAAAAACGTTTACTACGATTCGATCCAGCGACCTCCCTTCTGCGATGTCCCAAAGGTGGAAGCTTGTAATACGAAATATTCCATACATTAGGGTCTCTTCTGAAAATATTACAGAGATTTGGAGGCGTTTCCCCTCAAGAACGCCTTCAAATGTGTGGTAGCAGTTTGCAGAACGCCCCCTATGCTTATACATATTACGGCACTTTCTGAAAACGCCGCTGAATGCCCTGTATTTAAAGGCGTTTCTTCAGTACGCCGTTACCTGAGCATATTTGAAGGCGTTTTCTCCAGAAGGCCTTTAACAGAGCTAATCTAAGGCGTCTTTGAGAACGCCTTGAAGAAAATGCCTCCGTTAGTCTGCCGTGTTGTAGTGTCTCCGCCTCCTCCGGCGCACCCTCGTTCGAGGACGTCTTCCCGGAAATCTTCGAGCTGCTGGACGGCCGCGTGTGGGCGGGCCATGCGCCGGATGCCCGCGCATGCGCGAGGCCTTCGCCGCTTTCGGCTTGCCCGCGCTGGAGCCCATGGGCGTTGTCGACTCGCTCGACGTGCTTCTCGCGCAGAGCGCGCAGGGGGTGCTTCGGGCAGGCCGCCGCCGGGGACGACGGCCAGGAGGAGGACGAGGAGGCGGCGGCGGCCGCCCTGGCGGAGCACTTCGGGATCAGCGCGCGGCGGGCGCGGGGGCTCCGGTGCCTGGACGGTGCGCACGTGAGCCGCGAGGTGCTGAGACACCACGAAGGAATCAATTTTTTTTCACGGCGGCGGCGGCCCCCCGCGCCCGCGCGGGGACAGCGGCGGCGGCAGCGAGGGCCAAGCACGAGGAGGATGCGGGGCGGCAAACTCGGCGGATCCGACGCAGCTGGACGTCGTCGTCGAGGCATTCTGTGCGGGCGGGAGTTGGTGGGGGAGAGAAAGAGAAAAGAGATCACGTGGGTGGGCCTGAAGGAAAAGCGAGGAGAGAGAGGGAGTGGGAGGCTGACAATGGGCCCAAAGCAACTAAAGTAGTCTCTCTCCTCCCCCAGCTGCCCCCCGGGATCCTGGGAATGGGATGAGAGCGTCGGCCGTAGTTTTGGCCAAATCCGGCGATATTTGTACTCCTGGGGGCGCGAGTAGAAACTTTTTTGACCGCCGGCGCTGGAAAAGTGCTCTTGGGGGCCTTCCTGGGGAGACAGGTGGAGATGCTCTAACCAGCCGGGACTGTACTGAATCGACTTTCCGGCGTTTTCTTTTTCACGGCTCTAGTATAAGGGCATCTCTAAAGCAGATTCGTAGCTAGCCGGATCATCAAGGCAGATGTGTATCGATCAACTGGGTGGTGCGGGCGTGTTTTCTTTCGTAAACTGAAGACAAATGTTGAGAGATTTGCAGGAGTTCTGACACGTATACGTTGGACTCCGACACCCCCGGTTTACTCAAAACCCTTCTCGGACCCCATGCCTCCATCCTTCCTATTTTCTCTTCTTTCTATTTTTTCTCTTGCCTTCGCCGCCGCTCCACAACCCCGGCCGCCACTCCACACCCCTGCCGCAACTCTGCGTCTCCGTCACCTCCAGCGCTCCAACAGGGCTCCACCCTGCTTCTTCGTCGTCGTTTAGCCCCTGCCCTCCGACCGCCCCGCCAAGTACCATCCGCTACTGCTATACTCACCATGCCTGGCAAGTGAATCGTCGGAGCTAAAAACAGTTTTACCTTCTTCTTTCTGGCAATGGATTCCTATTTCGAGTACATATACGAGCACTATGTTGAGTTGTCCGACGGCTTGTCAGACGAGGAGTACTCCGATGAGACGGTGTGATGTAGGCGGTCGTTGAAGACGCGGAGCTTGCATAGGAACATGTTCTCAATTTCAAGGGCTCGATCAAGGGTCATCGAGTGCTCAATCGCAACAGGGCGCGCGACCATTTGACACGAGTAAAATGCACTCGTGGTTATTGGACTTACCGTATAAGCTCACTTTGATCACTGTACTCAGAAATACAGTTAATACGGTCATTATATACGTGTTGAGGTGATTATACGGTCACTGTAGATCGTATAGCTCCGTATTTCATCTTGGTCAAACTATCCACGTGCTGCCTCATCAGCTCATTTTCTCCACGGGTCCTACCTGTCAGTGGGTGGAGAAAGAAGTAGAGCCAAAAAGTAAAATGATGCACAAGCGTGGATTGCAACCGGAGAACAGATGCTCGAGTGCCAGTAGTCTAACCAGCTGCGCCAGTGTCGCCTTGTTGTTGCATAGCTTTAAGTTCCCTTTCAGCGATGTATGCTCGCATCGATCAATAGACGACCGGCCGGACCGGCGGAGCTTAATTAGATGCCGATCCACCGATGGCAGCTATCTAGCATGGACGACGATTTACAGTTTGGATGGATCGGCTCGCGCCTCACGCAGGTGCCTAAACAAGTGAAGTACAGTACCTATGAACTAATTAACAGCTAGCTCTTCTTATTAAGTAGCAGTATCTCTGAATCTGAGATGGAGCGCATCCGTCCACCTCCACCCCCATTGATCTATCTCGTTCGTCACATGCCATGCGCATAGCTGCTTCCCAATGCCTCGCCTGTTTGTTGAAATGGAATCTTGTCAAGTACGAGTAGCAGCTAACTAGCTGCATCGCTGCACGACTGATCCACGCATGCATCACGCACTTAACCGCGGTACTTAGTTCACTACTCAACTACTTGAACAGAAGCCGGAAGTTGTCATGTGAGTAGTGAACTACTGGGAGCATTTAACTCGACACGTGTTATTAAGAAAAACGCAACACCTATATACTG